AATCCCGTCCGTGGAACTTTTTTCCCCTCCGCTGGTCATGGGTCATGTCTTTGGGCGTCAGCGACAGCTGAGATGGGAATGTCGCGGGGTGTCGTGGGTTCGAATACTATCCCCGTGGTGCATTTTTCCCGAGGTCGCCGCAGGCGGCCTGTAGAGACATAGTCAGAAGCGTATAAGGTATCCTCGCTAGCAGTCAATGGCCGAGTGGGCTGAGGCGTCTGCGAGTGGTCTCCTCGGTGTGGGATCGACTCCCGCCCGAAGCGTGCAGTCCACAATTTTTCTCGCTCCTCCGCTCACTAGTACGAAGGGGCGAACGCACAAAACAGATTCTCACAGCTCCAAACAGCATCGTGGCGTCGTAGCATAGTTGGTAAAGCGCCAGCTCGGAGATCCGACGGTCAGAGGTTCGAGGCCCACAAGCAAGTCGTGTTTAGCTTTCCATTTGCAACTGTTAACGGTCGGGCGAAGGCAGCTCAAATCTGATCCAGACGCCGTATTCTCTCGCCGCTTCGGTAGTGTAATGGTTAACGCGCTCTAGCTGGCTCCGTCCCCCCGGGGGTCGTCGGTTCGAATCCTCGGACCGGCGGCCCTCTCCCCTCCCCTCCCTCCCCCCGGGGCAAGCGATGATGAGGAGCGTTAACCATTGACACCGAAGCTCATTTTGCGATCCGGACAAACACCAACCTAACCTAACCTAACCTAACCCAGGCTTTAAAACAGGCAAAATGAGCTTCGGTGTCAATGGTTAACGCTCCTCATCATCGCTTGCCCCCGGGGGAGGGAGGGGAGGGGAGAGGGCCGCCGGTCCGAGGATTCGAACCGACGACCCCCGGGGGGACGGAGCCAGCTAGAGCGCGTTAACCATTACACTACCGAAGCGACGAGAGAATACGGCGTCTGGATCAGATTTGAGCTGCCTTCGCCCGACCGTTAACAGTTGCAAATGGAAAGCTAAAAACGACTTGCTTGTGGGCCTCGAACCTCTGACCGTCGGATCTCCGAGCTGGCGCTTTACCAACTAAGCTACGACGCCACGATGCTGTTTGGAGCTGTGAGAATCTGTTTTGTGCGTTCGCCCCTTCGTACTAGTGAGCGGAGGAGCGAGAAAAATTGTGGACTGCACGCTTCGGGCGGGAGTCGATCCCACACCGAGGAGACCACTCGCAGACGCCTCAGCCCACTCGGCCATTGACTGCTAGCGAGGATACCTTATACGCTTCTGACTATGTCTCTACAGGCCGCCTGCGGCGACCTCGGGAAAAATGCACCACGGGGAGTATTCGAACCCACGACACCCCGCGACATTCCCATCTCAGCTGTCGCTGACGCCCAAAGACATGACCCATGACCAGCGGAGGGGAAAAAAGTTCCACGGACGGGATTTGATCCCGAGACCGAAGGTGTCCGGGCAGTGCTCTGGCACGCTCGCCACTCGGCTGTCGGCTCCACTTGTCAGCGGAGAGTTCAGAACTCGGTGCT